GCGAAGACCGAAAGGAGATCCAATGAGGTACACATGTCGTGTGATAGAGAGCCTAAATATGATCGGAAGCCCCTGTCATGGCCGTGAGAAGTCCACCGCCCTGAACTAGAGAGGTGTTGGATGGATGAACCTTGTGTTACGGCGAGCTGCCCCCTATCCTGATGGATATATGGTCATGGTGCGGTAAAGGTACGAGACCCTCTTCAAACTAAGAGAAGATCCTCATATAACCTTGCATGACCAGGGACACGCCCTGTCGCGGCCGGTGGGAGGCCTCGTACTGATCGAGAGGACACAGCAAGACAGGGTCAGTGATACATACGCGTTGGCTGATCTTGTGAAGCCATGTTGTGGCGCAGGCAGAGGGAGGGGCAGAGGGATCCAGTGTCCGGCCCCTAAGACTTCCGACATTTTTCGTGGCATTACATGTGCCAAAGGTTGTGTATGAGAAGGCCTCTTCTGGCTTGCGAAGGCTTTCTATCCGTCGAAATGCACCACAAAGTGTATGCTCACTCTCGGAGAAGTTTTGACGGCCGTCCGTGGAGGTGAAAGCTGTAAGTGGAATGACACTCCCGCTATCCTGTATGGCTTTCAACACCGAGACACGCCCTGCACAAGATACCCGGACCAGGACTGTGCTAGTGCCTCCAGCGAGACTCAGGGACCGTGCTCATGTTCCAGCGGGACTCAGGGACTGCTATTGCTCCAGCGGGACCCAGGGGCCGTGCTGGTGCTCCAGCGAGGACTCAGGGGCCGTGCTCGTGCTCCGGCGGGACTCAAGGGACTGCTGTTGCTCCAGCGGGACTCAGGGGCCGTGCTAGTACTCCAACGGGACTCAGGGGCCGTGCTAATGCCCCAGCGGGACTCAGGGGCCGTGCTGGTGCTCCAGCGGACTCAGGGGCCGTGCTGTTGCTCCAGCGGGACTCAGGGCGGCCGGTGAGACCGAACTCATGACAGTACTGACAACATATTCCCAGCCCAGCAGGCGTCGCGAGGATGCGGGACGTTGCGAAGAGTGCGGAGGCAAGGGTAAACGGGACGTGGCCTAAAGAAATCGGAAGCGGTAGATGGGGAAACTTGGGCCGCCGGTGAGTAGTGAGTCACGTTTTTTCTGGACATTTCTCGGTTCTGACTGTATGAAAGTGTCCTACGAGAGTGCTACTTTGCTTGGTGCTCGTGCACGTTTTCTTAATGAAATAAAATGAGCGGGGTCACCAAAAAATCGGCAAGATTGTTCGTATTGTGTTTCAATAATTTTAGAGCAGACTTTTCTGTAGAACATTTCTATTCCTCACGATAGTGCAACGCAAATTGCCTGTCATTTTCTTAACATTACTTATGAGCAAGTTCATTTATTGAAAATTGGTAGAGATGGCGAACTCATGCCCGGAATAACTGGTGCTGGCACTTGCCCACTTCAAACCCTAGCGAGAAATTAACTTCAGAGTCTTATTCACTTCATGTCAAATGTAGACATCCCAGTTTTCGATTAAACAGACGATGAGACTTAACGCGGAGAAACATAAAAGGAGAGCCTCTTTAGGTACTTGGCTGGCAAGAGCGTACAGGTATTCGAGCTCACTTCTCATCTAATGAAGCCCGTTACAGGGATAAACATGACACTTAAAAAGGCACTCAAGGATCCCCATCTTAGCTATCAGACACGTAATGGCATGGACGTCGACATTAGTTCCGTATTATAGGGCAGTGTGGCAGTTACAAGGTGGATACCGTTTCAAATAGACGGTCCATACCAATGCGGTCTGTGTAATACGGGTATCAGAATAGACCACTAGATGACTGTCCACAGCACCGCAGCAGCTCTGCCGCTGACATTTCGACCGACCCCTTTCTGTCCTCACCCACGCTGCTTCCCGTTAGGTCCTGAGACGCGTGCCACCGGCAATGCAGGCCGCCGGTGGTGCCGTCCTCCGCCGCCAGGTGGCAGGTGCGGCGGCGCCCGGCCCGGGCGCGGTGTTTGGCCCGCCACGCCTCTGAGTCACCGGCGCTGCCGTTGCCAGAGGCTCGGTCCAGAAACGATAGTGAGCCACTGACGCCCCGTCAGCCGGTGAGCTATCGCTGCTGCCGTGTCAGGGCGGGATTATTTACCACAGCGGCTGAAGCTGACTCCAGCCGCAGGATGAAAAACGGCTCGGAGAGACGCGGGTGTGAAAGGGAGTTTTAGATCGTTGAGACGATTGCAGCCATTACTGCATTTCGACCAACACGAGGCCACAAAACAAACATCTATTTCGAGGCATTTTAGATTTTAAGTAATATAATCTAATTGGGACAGAAGACCTTCCATGTTGTACATAAAACATCGACAACTTTCAAACCATGAAGCACAAGCACAAGAAAGTTAACAAAATTCCGAATTCAAAGCAGTGTTGTATTCCAACCTCCGAACCACAACATGAACATGTAACCGAGGGATGAATTGATTCATATATACCAGGTCGAAAATTTCACACTATTCTAGAATGGGCATTCCCGCACATCGTCACGAAACATGCACTTAACTGGACGACTTCACCCCAAGCAGAGGCAAATGAGTTTAATGGAGCCATGTACCCCACTTTTAATGAACCTTATCAGCTGGCCTATGGTCATGCGTGACAACGGCCTGACATCTTCCTTGTCTCCTCTCTTTGTGGGTTGTCTTCTTCTACACATGAGCATGACACACGCGGCAGGATCGCTGGAGCTCAGGATCACGACCGATCGCTGGAGCTCAATGGATCGCGACAGGATCGCTGGAGCACGCACCACACAGCCTGACAGTTATGGCCAGCTGAGGACCGTCCGTGTCCTGGCAGTTGACACAACGTGAGCTGTTGGCTGCGGGTCCCCGTACGGATGGAGTAACCGTGGTCTCGAATAGGCCTCCGGCAGTGTCGTGGTCGGAAATAGTCGCTCTGGCATGTCGTGGTCGTTGCAGAAAGCGCCAACAAAGAAGCCGCGTGCCAGAGGACGCAGTTGTGACGCCTTTGTGACGTATCACCACCGTGAGACATCAGCCTGCCTGAGTCACTCTCCTGTCATGCAGTCGGATTAGGCAAGCACTCGCTGTTGTCCTTACTTTTCGTGTGTGTAGTTTGTGTCGACAGAGTGCATTTTAAGTAGCTTTTCATGCGTTATTGTGCTTTACAGCCTAATTCGTGGCACACCCTTCCCGGTGTAGTTACGAAGCACCCACTTAGCTTAAAACGAATCAGTCTCCTGCCTGCCTGTAAAGAAAGTAAACGTGAGAGCTGGGGTTTGTACCTAGTGTTTAAAATAAGGCACGTTGCAAGTTTAGATAAGTTAGGTCGTAGCAGAAAAGCGTATAATTTTACGCTTGCTGGTTTGCTGAGCTTGTATCCTGAATCATTCGAGAATGCGTCTCACATTTCGCTCATACCAAGTAGCGAACTGGAGAAATGTGGCCACGAGGTCTCCTCCGCTGTTAAAAATACCCCCGCCGCGCAGCCTTGCAGCACCCTAAACTACCACCCCCGCCCCGTTCCAGACCATATTTCGCTCCGTTCCGCTGACTGCACACGGCCGAGGCTCTTCCAGACCGTTTTATTTTCGACACACCACAGCGTCTGCGACGGTGGCCTGGCACGGGACGCGGTCAGGTGTGGCGACCAGTGCGGAGGGCCTCCGGCGGCGGCGGTCCGTCCCCACCGCCTGGCGGGTGGCCTGGCACGGGACGCGGTCAGGTGTGGCGACCAGGCGGAGGGCCTCCGGCGGCGGCGGTCCGTCCCCGTCCCCACCGCCTGACGGGTGGCCTGGCACGGGACGCGGTCAGGTGTGGCGACCAGGGCGGAGGGCCTCCGGCGGCGGCGGTCCCTCCCCACCGCCTGACGGGTGGCCTGGCATGGACGCGGTCAGGTGTGGCGACCAGTGCGGAGGGCCTCCGGCGGCGGCGATCCGTCCCCACCGCCTGACGGGTGGCCTGGCAC